AAATGTACTGTTGAATAAGGTTTTTCATATCTTAGTATATTCCTATTGCATCACAGTTCATCTCCAGTGATTAAAAACATTTTGTGATCTTGATGTGAAAGATTTAGTTGGATCATTTTGAACAGGCATATTTGCGGCGACCTTCTGTGACTGACAGAAGCGCTTGTGCAGCGCGGATCCAGCAGGCATGTTCCTCTCTGCAGAAGTCTGAATGTAAATCATCTGTTACATAGAAATTATGACTAACTGATCTTGGCTTGTTGTAATTCTGTTTTTACAGTATTGCCTTTAGCCCTTTGTGTTCTTTGCTTTTCTAATATTTTAACCACCGCTGCCTCAACACAAATAATAGCTTATAACTCCTGACAAATCCCAGCGTTCTGTTGACCTTAGCTTTCTAACATCTCTGTGGTCACCACACTTTATTTAAACTTCACAATGAACTTTGTGTAATACGGTCAGATACTACTTTACAGGTGTGCAAATATCAAAAGTTACCTGATGTTTCTAAGAAGCGTCACAACAGGAAATTAAAAGGACACCTATTATGCTTTTCCACATTTGATGACTTATCTTCAATGTTACAATGTCGGATGTTCATGTTAAACATGGCCAAGCTTAAAAAAAAAATGAGGTTAAAGTATTTAAACGAATAATTCGATCCAGCTAAAAACTTATTAAGTACAGATTTAGGAAAGATATTGAAGTGAATTGTAGTTTCTGTGGTGGATGTCCAGAAACCTTTAACGTTGTCCTACGGCAGAAAGAACACTTGTGTGTTCTTTATTACTTATATTAATCTCATTATTATGGCCACTTTCTTTATGCTACTTTGTTCACTTATCTATCTCTGCTCTTGTCTTTGCTGTTGCAAACCGCAATTTCCCCACTGTGGGACAAATAAAGGTTTTCTTTTCTTATCTAATCTAAAGAAACTTCAGTTCAAACACTCCTCATCAAATCAGGGGTCTGCGCAGGAAAAGGCAATTAAAACTGTATCAGCATGTGTTATTTTGAAAGCAACAACAGCAGCCTGGTAACATGATTCAGGTCTTGGCCAATCAGAAGACAGTGGGCTTTGAGGGGGGGAACTTAAAGAGACAAGCATCTACAGCTTGTTTCAGACAGAGGCTGAAATTAAGGCCTAGTCAGAAAATTATTGTTTTTGACCTTTGAATCATGCAAAGCTGCCATACAGGCGTCACAGAACTACGATATAGGACTGGAAAAGCAGTTTGATAGGTCTGTTTAAAGCTGGTATTAATCAGTTTACCATCACGTTAGCCCCTTTACTAATGAAGCTAATCACAACCCGCTGCCTGTGGAAGAGGTGGAGTCAGTAAATGAAAGGATTTTAAATGATCCTGCTGCTGCTGGAGCGACTGAAGGAAAGAAAGAACAGGGAGGCGAGTTGGTCCTTACGGAGCCTGGAACAGGAAGACCCTCCAGTCGGCCGTCCTCAGGTAGAAGACGTTGGGTCTCTTGCTGTAGTCGGCTGCTCTCATGGCCAGAGAGTGATGGATGGCACGGCGTTCTTCACGTCCTCCTCCGTCAGCTCTCGCTCCGCACGGTACTCATCCTGTCAGCCAATCACAGAGCAGCACGACATCAGTATCCAGCCACGTTTAAACCCTAAACCCGCCGTCAGTCAAGTTTTCAGGACTAAAACCTTGCGGCAGCATTGTGTTGCCTTCTGCTCAGATTTCTCAAATTAACAAGATTTTGATGTTAAAACAAGAAGTTTAATGAGTTATAAACTCAGAATTTCTCTATTTATTCTGTTTCATCAATCATTCATCAGCTGTTTAACACCATTTGGGGGTAATTTGTTCTAAAAACATCTCACGCTTGTAGATAAGTTTCTGATTTGTTGGAAAGTGGCGGGGACATAAGGTCAGATTAGGGCTGTGAAGAGACACGTAGCTCGCTTAGAAATCACATGAACAGATGATGAAAAGATCTTCAACAGTGTTTTAAAGATATCCTCAATGCTGAGATATACATCAGGGGGGGTCTGGGGGGGCCTCCCTCAGTAAATGTTCATCTTTAAACACTGCACACCTGCATTCTGGTGAACGTTTCTGCAATAATTTATGGTGGAAATGTTTTTATTTATGTAAAAGGAAACACAGGATTCAGGTGGCAGGTTATATTTCTAAATCTAACCAAACTATAACAGAATCTCAGTCATGCTGCTCTCAGATCTGTTTCTCTCTGTAACATCGTCCTGCCGACATGATTTGGTCTTCCCTCCTCTTTTGTCACGTTCACAGGGAGAGAACAGAAAACTTGGCCAAAAACAACTGTGTCTGGAAGTTGTTAAACTGATCTGTGCTGCATGTTTTTGGGTCATTTTATAATCAGCAGCTTGTTTTTTTAGCTTAAGTTCCTTTTTTTTTGGACAGTGCACATTTGTTTCTTCCATATTTTAATTGCATTGCATGTTTTCTTAATGTGCAAAGAAACCTTTCTAAAAGGTATTTTCATTTGTATTTATACTTGTACTCCCCGGCGTTCATGACACCTGTGTTTCTGATACAGGTGCAACACATTTGAATATTGAATACAGTTCTCTGTGAGCAGCAGAATCAAGTTTAACTTGATCAGAGCCGATCAGAGCTTTTCTCAGGCCGACCTTTCTGTTTGATAAATTCAAGTAATCATCGAGATTAAAACAAAACAAGTCTTGAAATATTTCACTTTATGTGTAATGAATCTAGAAGATATGAAAGTTTCACTTTACAGAGCACTGCACGCCAAAACCAACAGTTTCTTCCCACAAGCCATCACAGCTGACTCCTGTGCAATAACCCAGTAACTCTGCCTCTAATCAGCCACCTGTTTACTGGTTTCCACTTATTATTTATTCACCATTCTCTATTTCAGAGCTGCTCATTTTGTATATTGTATAAACTGTTAACAAATCCACCTACCTAAAGTACACAACACCTGCACATAATACTTATTTATTCCTGCATTGTCTCAATCTGTCTGTTGTTTTTGTTTACAGTGTGTATAGATATATATATATATATGTTCTCTACACTGTAGCCTGTGTCTGATTTTATTATTGTATAAGTAAGCGTATCGTGAGCAACAATCCTGAGTCAAATTCCTCGTACGTGTACACATACCTGGAAAAAAAACTGATTCTGATACATTTTTTGAGATTATTTGTCATGTATTTTAAAAAGATTTTGATATAATGGGAAAAAAGGACTTCGATAGGATGAGAAAATATTTTATTTTTAATGAGAAACCAAGTAATAAGCTGCCGAACGAAGCGTTACTGTGAAACCAGAGAAGTTTTAAACCCTTCAAATCTTTAAACAACACGTTACATCTGAAAGCTCGGTCAAGGCCCTTTGGCGTCGCTTTTTAACGCCCTGGGGATCCCTTTAGTGTCATTTTTAGATGATTAAGGCTCCATGGTCAAGTTAGCAACGCTTAGCAACAAGGAAAATTTGCATTGTCCGGTTAGACTTTCAAAATAAAGCGGTAGCGAAACATCGGCATTTTTAAACGGCACGTTATTAAAGTCGTGAAACGTTGCAGTTTGGTTAAGTTTAGTCACAAAAACTACTTGGTTAAGGTCAGGAAAAGATCATGGTTTGGGTCAAAATATCTACAGACGTCAGTTAACACCTAAGTTAACTTGCATAACTTTAACTTATATTAAAATCTTTAATGTTGACTTCTTGTTTCACACAGGACACAAACCTCCTGGTTCAAAGTCGGGGTTCTGGTCCTCCAGCCGCCTCCTTACTCACTCTTTTGTTAATATCTATGGGGAGGTGACGGCGCAGTGGATAAGATCTTTAGTGTGAGAGACCCGGGTTCAGCTCCCCACTGTGACCATCCACCAATACTTAACCCCTCGTTGCTCCAGAGGCGTGCGACCTCTGACATGTAGAGCGATTGTAAGTCGCTTTGGATAAAAGCGTCAGCTGAATGAATAAATGTAAATATCATATACCTGCCTTCACCGTCACAAACTGACGCTACAGGGCTTCCCCCCCCACTGCGTTGAACTATGACGCTGTAGGGATCCCCAGTGCGTTACAGACTGACGCTGATGGTCTTGACCGTGCGTCCGTATGTGACGAGTCGGGAGGGTTAACGGGTTGGTTTAAAACAGTATAAAAACAAAGCGATGACATTAGAAACGGACTCAGATTTAGATCCTGACCCACATTGTTTGATGTTCACCCGATCTGGGACACGCAGAGTTAAAAATAGACCCTCATGTGTGAAACAGCGGGGCTGCTGGGAAATGTAGTTCAGATGTTTACCTTCTGCAGGTAGAGCACCAGACCCTTCAGCATGGCGTAGAAAGACTTCCACCCCCTCTTACCCCGTGGAGCTAGGAGAAACAAGGCATCATGGGAAATGAGTTCATCCAGCTGCTATCATAAAACACAGGTTACAGAATAAACAAGAGAAGAAGAAGTCAGAGCGACGTACTTCTCTTCCCGTCGGGGTCGGCGTGGACTTTGCGGACCAGGAAGCCGTTCTTGTACAGCTCGCCGTCGGCCTGATGGGCGACGCCCACCAGCGGGTTTCCTCCACTCCCCAGCCGCTTCATGGTGTGGGAGGCGGAGTCTGTTCGGACGTCGGCCAGCTCCGACATGGACTTCCTCAGCTCCTCTTCATCACTTCAGAGGACAGAAGGAACCATTAAAGATTCATCCTCTCGTGACCTCACATCGCTCTCTGCTCACGTGTCTAAGCTTCAGCGATGAGTGAGGACTCCTCATCATATTATATTTGGGATGAAACCCAGTTTAGTCCAACATATCCTGTTCATTTAAGATCCAGCAGGCGTCGAGTTAATTGAAAAACTCTGCAGCTGTTGGGCTCATTACAAACCATCTCTGTCTCCTTTACGCTCATCTGTGTTCATGTAATTGTGCATTTACTGATTAGGGGTGAGCAGCTTCACTGGTCTCACGATTACGATTGGTACCTCGGTGGGAATTTCTGGGCACCTCATTACGATTATGAGGCTGCGACTGTAAAACGAACAGGACACAGATGTATTTTTCTCACTGTGTGACGACTTGGTACTTTTAAAGCAAAGTATTTAACAACAATCCAAACAAGTAGGTAGAAATGAAATGCAGATATTTATGTTACGTCATATAAATGTAGCTAACATAGCATTATTACATGGTTACAGCTTTATCACTGACCTCTGCTGCTGCTGTTTATCAGCACAGAGTCAGATACGTGTTGAACTTCGCACTTTACAACGCTGCAGCCAAACCACGTTCACTCCACCTTAAATATCTGATCCTGTGTTTTGTCTCGTCTGCTGTCGCTACATGTTTGTCTTGTCCTGTAAGTGGATTACTGTAATCTGAGCACCGTGGGCCTTGAGAAGCAGCATTTCATTCATTTGTGCCCTCGACATGTGGATGAATGACAACAAACGAGCTTGAACTAGCAGCCAAAGAGCGTCCTGCTCAGCTTCCAGACCGCAGTCTGAAGAGGACATGTTAGCTAACGTTAGCGCTAACTGCCTCCTCTTTCCCAGCGGCTGGAAAACAACAGACAGACTTTAATTAACGGACACACTGTGACCTGCACTGTACATTTACAGCCAGACTGAAACGTAGCGCTCATGTTTAACTCTGCTTTCATCGTCACGTAGCTTTGAAGAATGAGGAGAGGACGCTAGCTAAGCGCTAATGGGCTTATTGACATTTGTGAATCGATTCAGAATCGTCCGCATCGCGATGCATCTAAAAATCAATTGTTTTCCACGCCGTTATTGCTGATATAATAAAACACATTATTCCATCAGTAAATCCCCAGAGACGGCTGCTTCATATTTGCTGGCAGACGTGGCTCGTATGTCATTATAACCGTAATAACTCCGATTTAAATGTAAAAAACTACGATAGCTTGTATTCAAATTAGCCGCTGAACTCTGACCTTTCGACTGAGGGCTAATCCGACCCAACAGGAGCTCACATGGCCCCTGTTATTTCCTGGGTAGACCGAGCCAATTGCAACCAACTGTGCCGATGACCGGCACTTCGTGTAGCCAATAAAATTCTGAAAATAACCAAGTAGGAAGTTCATTTTCTACCAGCAAATAAAAAGCACGTCTACGTCGAGCTGCCGGCTGATACGGAGCGACGCAGCAGCAGCCGCCAAGGGGCTGTTTCAGAAAAAATGCACTGTGGAAAACATTTTTCATGGTACTGGTATGAAGTTTAAACTTGTTCTAGGTAAGTTAAGGCTTTATGCTGCGGCCCCGCAGTGTTTCCCAGCTGTAGTTGTCTGCATGCATTGTTAACATTTTCAAGCAGAAATGAAAAATCTATTAGTTTTAGTGTGTTTAAACTTATGTTAATCAGTTCCAGTAGCTCTTACAGTCATTCTGACTTTTGGGTTAGACACTGCAGAGTGTTTCTTTCAGAGAAGCCCAAAACCAGGCAGATACTCCAGATGGTTCAAGAACTGCATTCAATTTACTTTTAAAACGAATTTTACAGGAATGTTAAGAGGTTAAAAAATAAAACAGCTGCAGAACATTAAGATCCAGACAGGAAGGAGAAGAAGAAGAACCGAGCACACACGCAAAATGCATATAATACTGCGCGCGTGTCCACAGTCGAGCCTGGGCGTCGGGATGCCGACCTGTAATTACAGCGAGGACAGAAAGCAGGGAACAGTTACCACGGCAACAGAGGCTTAAATAAGAGAGTCGGGGCAGCGGGGACACACACACAGTTAAAACCAGTGGAAACCAGCTGGTGGTTCAGACTGCAGGAGGAAACTTACATGGTCCACTGGAGCTTCTCGTTCTTGATGGAGCTGTACAGAGTCTGCAGAGACACAACACACAGTCAGATATACACATAAAAACACACCACAGAAACAGTCGAGTTTAACCTGCAGGTTTAAAACAGAAACCTGGACTCAGATCGTCTCAGTTCATTAGAGGAAGTTTGTCTTTCTGTCAGCAGAGAAGGCTGCAGATTTACAGAGCAGCTTTGATTGGATTTCCTCCTGTAGGATTTATTATGAAAGACTAATAAGGGGAACATCTTTGTCCCATTAACAGCTTTGAATTCAGCTCACTTTCTGTTGTTAACGTCGAAACTGCTCGTACCTGTTCAGAGCCAGTGTTTCCCCTACGATGTTTCTCCACCGAAACTACCGGCGTTGCAGAGTTACGGATATGTGGTGTCTGTTTAGCCTCGTCACCTTCTCCGTACACTTAAGACAGTTTTACTGCTAAAGTTTCTCCCTCCTGATGGAGCTGGATATTCAGATACCGAGCGACGAGACCACGACCACGACCACGACCACAAGAAAGCTGCTTTATTTATTGCCAATTATCGTGTTTTACTGAGTATTCTGTGTTTTACAATTGAAGCACCTTTTATCATCGCAGTCTGTGATCACATGTGAACAATGAGTTGAATCAGTATCAATGAATCTGATGTATTATGTAAATATCATAATATATGTGCAGTCATGTGATTGGTCACAGGTCATTACTTGACGCTGCTCTCCGGTGGGCGGCGCTGCTCCTTGTTTACAGTTTGACGGGATGAGGACAGCAGCACCGTGTTCCTGAAGCGCTGCGGGCAAAAACACTTCCCTAAATCTATAAATAGCATCAACATTTTTACAGATTCCACGACTTTCCGCGTTTTACAGTTAATTCCATTTGTTCTGTCAAATTCCACGTTGTGTGTGGAACATAGTTATATTATTTCCGGGCGGGTAGCTTTGGGGGTCGGGAACATGTTTCTCTGCTACTTTCCACAAGAACCACCGGAACTTCCTGTAAACTGTCTGAAAGTCCAAACCATCCAAAATAATGCTTTCACCCTAGAAAGGAACTGAACCATGGTCCAGTGTGATCCGGAGCTGAGAGCACCTCAGTCTGGTCCGGGGAGGTTTCACTCCTGGAGCTGTCCGGACTGAACGAGGTCCTTAATGACCCGGCCTTCATTAGAGACGGGCCTTTATTTAAATACCTGCTCTGTTTTAAATCATAGACCTTCTTCCAAACAAATATTATGCGCTTTCAAAGTAGTTTACCGGTTTTGACCTCACGGTGATTGATCATAAAAAGTTCTTCCCCCTTAACTGCGATTTATACTTCTGCGTCAAATCGACGGCGTAGCCTCTGCGGAGCGCCGTCATCTACACCTCCTCAAAAATGTAACTACACATCGAGGCGACGCGGACCGTGAGAGCTGTGATTGGTCGGCTAGGTAGCCTCGCAATGCCGACAGGAAGTGCCCCGTGCTTTGAAGTTACTTTTACTAGCGGCCAAACCAGCGGCTGTAACACGGTGGATCAATATATTTGTGAAATGACTCGTTTCGCTATCAGACTGTGATCCACTCGGTCGGTGACATTTGAAAAGGCTACACCGGCCGCACGTTTACAATTTTACCCCCATTCACGTTAGCCTGCTCGGCCGGCAAAAGTCGACACAGTGGACGCTGTAGCGCTGCTGCCGACTAGTGTTTGGGGGTGTAATCGCAGAACGACGGAGACACGGACGCACAAGAATAAATGCGTGGCTACGTGCGAAGCCTACGCAGGAGGATAAATCAAGCTTTCTGAATAAAGTGCTACGCCTACGTTCTGCATGCTGCCTACTAAATGAACGTATGGTGTTTATGTATATATATCAATAAGCTCACGTTGCATACAAATTCTTGTTAATCTAGTTTATATCCATATGTTTTCCTTTCAGTGACAGTTTTTACAACCTCAGGAGCACTGACAGGTTTCCCGGTTGTGAAAACTGCCTTCTTCTTGTGTTTGTATCCTGCGCTCTGCGGTGTTCTACCTCCTCTTGTGGTCTGTAAGTGCAAACATAGTGTCACGTTCTTAAATCTCAAACTGGGTGTTTCCAGGTTCTACCTTCTTCTTGCGGCTCTGCCGGTGCTGCTGTCCGTCCTGGGTTTTCCCCAGCAGGTCGGGGAAGGCCAGCGGCTTCAGGGAGCGAGAGCGGGGGGTTCTGGGATACCTGAACGGGTCGGTGTCCCTCGAGTCCCGCCCGCTCCGGACCGAGCAGAGCGACCGTGAGCGCATGCGGCCTGACGAGTGGATGCTGTTGACGCCAATCATGGTGGTTTTTTCAGAGTTCAGAGTTCAGAGCGTCTGATTAGCGTCCGATTCAGGTTCACAAGAGTCCGACTGGACCTCAGAGTCTCTGTGCTTAAAAACAGCGATCCAGGAAATGAAGAAGAGAGAGTCTGTTAACGGGCAGACGACCACAAGAAAACCAAGACGAGCTTTGGTTTGAGAGGGAAAGATGAGGCGCGCAGAGGAGAGGACGACCTCTAGATGACCTCCGAATAATTCAGAACTCTTCGTGAAACTCTGCAGGAGTCTCACAGACGTGTCACAGATCTGACTCCACTTTGACAACCAGCTCTGCAAAAAAGGAAAACCTGTTTCCAGCAAATGGAGAGCATGGATCTAGGTTTTAAACAGATGAGCGGACGAGCTGTGTGAATTGATTGTGTCCTCGGCGGAGCTCAGCCCTGCTGCATTATGGATCTTTATTCATTATGCATAAAAACACAGCAGCGTTTCATCCGGCTCATAATCCTGCAGGCTGACAGCCGGCGGCTCGCTCAGGTCTGTGGAGGCAACGCCACGAAAACAAAAAGACGCTGCCAACAAACACGTCACAGCCGCTGATCAGTTTGGACGCAATCTGCTGCGAGATTTATCTTTTCAGGTCCTTCAGGAGACTTTTAACCGTGAAAAAAACTCAGATTTTGGCAACTTTATACAATGTTTAGTTGATTAAACCGAATTGTTCCAATCCGGGCTGCAGATAATGATTCTTTTTGCTTATCGCTCAGTAAATTGAGGACAAATGTCCACAAGAACAGCAGAGCTGCAGGTTTATCAGAGAAATAAATACAAAAATACAATAACATTAACTAAATTCAAGATTTGAAGCAGCTTGTACTTCCTGTCCACGTCTCATTAAACAGCTCTGCAAGATTTATCTTCTAAAAAAGACTTTTTATGTTAAAAATTTCAGCATCAGGCAACTTTATACACAGTGTTGTTGAGACCGAGAGTAAATTATTGTTACAATACTTATTTTTACTTTACTTTATAAATATTGCCAAATTTCCACCTCAGGGTACCAAACAGAGAAAGAAAACAACAAATCTGCAGGTTTACTGAAGAAATAACTTCACAAATACAATTAATTTTATAATTAAGATGAATAAATGAAATGACTGATGGAGCCAAAGATAAATTCTGTCACTAAAATATTGGAAGCAGCTTGTCCTTCCTGTTCACGTGTCACTAAACCACACAGAGATTTATCTTTTCAGCTCCTTTAAAATACTTTTTATGTAAAAAATATCGTCATCGGGCAACTTTATACACAGTGTTTAAATGTGTGATTAAATAGAGACAGAGAGTAAATTCGCCCTGCAAATATTTTTGATTATTACTCGTTAAATTGAGGACAAATTTTCATCTCAAGGAGACCAACAGAGAAAGAAAACTGCAGGTCTGTCAGAGAAAGAAGTAAATATTTTCTGGAGGATGTTGTTTTGTTAAAAATGAAGTTTGGTTGTCAAAGTGGGGTCAGCTTCCTGTTGACGCCTCATTAAACAGCGACACACTCCAGACGCCTCGGTGTGTTTAATCCCATCAGCTCCTGCAGAGAAACAGCACCAACACAAAATATCCAAACCACAACTCTGATCTTCTGCTGCTGATTTTTCCAAAATGTGAGTCTGTTTTCAAACTGGCTGTTGAACGCAGCCTCCTGATGCTGCGGCGTTGGCGGCGGCGGCGGCGGTGGAGGAGAATCCCTGGGCTGCAAATAGAGATGCACGTCAGCAGCGTCCGCTCGCTCTCACGTCCAAAACATTCACCAGGAAAAAAAACAAAAAAAACAAGAGAAAGAGAAAAGAAAGACGGGAAGGCAGGGGCGAGCGAGCACACCCACACATGCAGAGAGAGAGAGAGAGAGAGCACCCCCAAAACTGACGTCAGCCTCCTGCTGAGACGCCACAACCCCGACTGAAGACGGAGGATGGAAGGAGGCGGAGAGGTGGAGGCAAGACAGGGATGAGCTGATGGGGAGGACAGAAAAAGAGGAGAGTTTCTCCTGTTGCACTCTGGGAAAAAAAAAAGAAAGAATCCCTCCTTCCTCCTCCTCAGACGCTGATCTCTTCGTCCTCCACTTCAACTCCCACTCTTCTTCTTCTACTCCTCCTTCGCTTGTTGTCGTCTTCGTCCTGCAGGAGAATCCCTCCGTCAGGTGAGCTCACTCCTCCTCCTGTTCCTCCTCCTCCTCTCCTCTGCTGAGAGACTCTGTTGAGGAGCGCTGCTCGCCCTCCCTCCTCTCTCTCTCTCTCTTTTTCCCCCTCGCTCTCTCAATGCGCATTTTCTCCCAGCAGCAGCCAATGAGAGCGCAGGGACTGGAGCTTCAGCCCGCCCCTGCTCTCCTTGGAGCTGTCATCATTGAGGACTCAGAGAGCTGAATGTAAATGCAGGAAAAGACTCAGCGCCATCTAAACTGCCTGTTACTATAAAATATATATACACATTATATATCTTACATATATTAATGTGCTGCTGAATGAACAACACAGTTTTATAAAGGGAAAAGTGACACACGGAGAGCAGCTCTACGTTCTTATTATAAATAAAATACCAAAACAAGTAGAAAGTTAATAAAAATGAAATATTAAAATATAATATATTTTAATATTTCATTTTGTTATGTAAATATATGTTTTTATATATCAGAAAGTAACATTTTACATTTTGTTCTTATTTTATAAAGAAATATTTTTCCATTGTTTTACTA